ATAGATAATGACAATGGTCCAATAGTATTAAGTTGATGATTACAAATACTGGAAGTTGGAAGAGAAGAGATTGAGGAGATCTCGACATTTGATAATAAACAAGTATAATATTTATGTTGGTGATGCAATGATCTTAAACTTCTATCTCTTAATCATCCATAAAGATATTTCCAAATTTAGTGTCTATGCTAGTTACCACATGCTTACTGCTATTTAAGAAGCAATTTATTCAGTTGTTTAAGCAGGAAAAAAAAGGAGTAGCATGGACAAGAAACTGTTCCTGAGACCATTTCAAGAAATTGAAGTGTTCCTGAGATAAAATCATTTGACTCAGGCTTGGCCTTTTTATAGACTTTGGATACCTTGTCATTACTGCCCGCACTTTATTTTATTTCTAATCAAGAAGAAGACTAAAAGTTGACATAGAAGACAGAAAAGAAGTCTGCCTCTTGATAGGATTCCTTTTTCTTTTTCTTCAGAAAGAAGTCATGAGTACCAAGTTAGCATGAATTATTTTAGCTTGAAATTTAATTTGAAAATGGTTACTTGCCTTGATAATGAGTGAGGAAAGAATTATTCAGCACTAGCAACTTGGAAAAGTCAGTGGGGACTGCAGTCATTGTCCACTGGAAGCAATTTTCACTTCAGTTGATTGCTTTTTCTGTAAGCCAAATATTTGAAAAGCTTTAGGAAATTTCATTCTGTCTGGTTTTAAGAGGGTGAAGATAAGATTCATTTTTGCACCATTGGGTTCTAGTTGGTCTTCATGAAGCTGTTTATGATGATCCTTAGCCAGTGAAGTTCTTTTGTTTAGAAGAGACAAGGTTTGGGAAAAATATAAAAGAAATCATAAATAAATCAAAATTACTAGGTCTTACCAAGGCTAGATTTTGGATATTTGGAGTCAGAGAAATAAACTGAGATTCAGACAAAGGTAATCATATAGCCATGTTCACAACCAATACAGTTGTAGACGAGCTATGAACTATAACTTCATAATTTTTTTGTCAAACCTCTTTAAAAATTGCTTCATTACAATTTCTCCTCAATCCTTCTCCCTTTTTTCCTTTTTACCTGTTTAAAAGTTAAAAGGAATAATGCAGATTGTGCTTGAGAGGGACCTCTAGATGTAAATCTGTTTGAATGAATTCGGTTTCTTATAAGATAGTCAAGGGGGTAACTCCTTGGAATATGTTTGGTGTTTTTGATCATAAACGTGTGGGAATTGGCAAATTGAGGTTTGTTCTTTCAGATTTTGGTTGGAAAAAAATGTTCGTCCTGAAACAAATTGAGGATCATTAGTAACGAGAGGTAATTATTTACTTGATATTTCACGCTTGTGTTCTGTTGGTTGAAATGGCTGCACCAAGTCCACCAATGATCCTTTCACATTGTAAACAGCACTATCATTTGTCAGTTGATGGAGATGACAAGGTGATTACTATTACTAAATTTTCTGCTGATGTTTATGGCAATCCATACAGTTTATTATGGATTAAACAAGACAAGCATTAGTTCTTTTCACTATCAAAAACACCAAGTGGCAATTTTTTTTTTTTTTTATAAATTAATTTTTGATAAGATTGCCTGTCTTTTATTTCTTGCAAAAAATATTTGGCTTAAGTTATATCCGATGATACATTTATCAACCTCCATTGTATCAGCACATGTAATTATTTCCGACTCTAATGAAACTGCATCAGTGTTCTATCCTGACATTATCCTTAATGCAATAGGAAGAAGAAATAAGAAAGGGAGAACTTGAGGCGGATAAAGATAGAATGATGAGAGAGTACAGAGCTCAACTTGATGCTGAAAGGGCGCTTAAGCTTGCCCATGGAAGGAACCACTCTAGTAAATCTACTCGTAGAAAGGGTGAGCATAGAGGATCTTGAAACAGGAGAATCTTCCTGCTGCACTATATTTGCCTTCGTCTGTTTCTAATTGTTTGACATATCCTTGCAGATAGGAGAGATAAAGATTTAAAGAAGAGAAGCAGCAAAAAGAGAAAGGTGCCTCTAATTTATAATTAATATGTGGCTCTGTTTTCTGGTGCATACTATATTCAGATTGCATATCACTTTAAAAATTAACTTTGTTTTTTTGTTAATAAATTAATTACTTTTACTTCTTTCTGCCATTTTTTTTTTCCTTATGACGAATCAATTAGCAATCACTTGTCTTTATTGGTTCTCCTTACTAAGTGGAAGAATTTTGCATTAGACCTGTTACCTAGATTTGTTAAGCAGGAATGAGGTCGAAAGTATTGGAGAATCTGTATTTTTATTGTTAAGGTGGTTGATGTATTTCGTATAAACAGCAAGCCTTTTTACATCCTTGGATTTAAAACTGTCTGTGGATAATATTAATTTGGTAAATTACATGAATCCAAGAGTTCATACCCGAAACAATTACCACCTGGGTGGTTTGGCATTTTTTTGTTGTCAGTGTAAGTTCGTGCTTTTTCTTCTTATTTAGCATATAACTTAACATGAAACCAGTGAGCTCTAATTATTTTTTTCTCAATTTCTTAAGTCTTAGTATGGGACTAATGCCCTTTTCTTGTGCCTATATTGCTTTAAGCGTTTGGTTCCTGTCACATGCATTTGGTTTTTAGTGCAGTTCAGAAGGACTACAGGCAAATGTCTGGATACGTATATATTTCTCATGAAAAAGAAGGGAAAGCAGGGGAACAATGAAAACTTTGTGTTCCTTATTTGATTTTGACCATGAATAAGATTTGGAGGATAAGAGTACGGGGATCTTTATTTAATTTAACATGTGCAGCATTCAAGGAGGAGATCTTCAGACTCTGGCTCTTCTAGTTCATCCTCGGATTCATCAAGCAGCGACACCGAAGAGAGAGAATCACGAAAATCAAAGTCCCGGTCTAAGCGATCAAAGAAAGAAAAGAAACATAAATCGAGAAACAAGCACTGTAGCAGCAGTGATGAGGAGGAAGATGGTCCTGTTCCACTTTCAAGATTCTTCGGTAATTTGAAGAGTTGACACCATTAGCAGAGGATATACATATTGCTGTGTCAGTATTAGTTTCGTAGGATAGGAGATGAGTCCTGATCCCTTATTCCCATTTCCTTCGCGAATTACAGACCCATATGCTCCTTTCCAACTTTGATGAGCTTGTGAAATTTCAATTTGCCTTGAATCTCAATTTTAATTTCTCTTCCATTTCTTTAGAGGAAGTTCATCTCATTAACCGTGATGAATTTGTATGATATTGAAATCTTGTGTAATAAACAAACTCAAATTTCAATTCCCTTGTGCTGTATGCTGCTCTGCTGCCTGGATTCTGGATCAATTTTGATGTTAGTCTGATCTGTCCTTAGAGTTAGTAGCTTAGACAGTATATATTGCTATCTAGTGTCAGGTTTATAACATTAGTTATAACTATTAATTTGATTACAGAATTATAATTTTTTGGAATTGTTATTCAAAATATTACCATCCTAGTTTTCACAATTACATTTTCACCTCAGATTTAAAAATCTTTTAATTGAAGTTGCCTCCATTGTTTATTTTCTCCCAGCTGAACGAGCTTCCATTGTTTTTCTTAAATCTTATTTCTCATTGGAATGACTCGTTAAAAAGAAAAAAGAAATTGAAGAAACACTGTGTCTGCCATATGAATATATTTTACACATTTCAAATTATATATATATATATATATATATAATACATCACCAGGGTATTGGTATGTGTGTACATATACAATAAAAATTAGTAAATATTTATATGTACCAAAACACAGTTCTCCTTTCGTTTTCTCATGTCATTATTCTTTGTCAATACTTCATTTACACAAATCATATTTCGTAAGTTCATAAAATGATACATGTCATCTACAAGCATGGATAATATATTACGTACGTAGGCACATTAATAGAAGTGCATGTGTTTGTATGAACAATATACACTTGACAAAAAAGAAACATATATATAACAATATTAAAAATGTGAACAGAGCTTACAAAGCGTAAAAACTATTTTTCTATTTTTTTAAAAAATCAATATTATCATATATATATATATATAAAAATTAAGTAAATCTAAACAATTAAAATGACAAACATTTTTATTGACTAAATGAAGGACTGTCACTCTCTTCAATTCCTGCACTTGAAAGTGGAAATTTTTACTTTTCTCCACTCTTAATAGTTTCACTGAATTCCAGCGTCAGGGGAAGAAGAAAAAGAAGAAAAAGAAGAAAAATAAGAAACCAATATGGACAAGAAAATTTTAAATTTGCTCAACCCAACAGAAAAAGAAAAGAGCAATAAGAAACACAAACACAGTTACAACTGTTCTGGTCTATGAATGCCCGTTATCCAACTTTTTCAGTTCAAGATCCATCCATCTTTGGATGGAGTGTATATACATCAAGAAATCAATAACTTAACCAGAACATAAAAGTATCATGTCAATCACACTGATCAAAGCCATATAATGAATAGAACAGCATATGATCAACAACTATTGCTGGTACTCAGGGTTGAATGCAAGAGCTTCCCGGTAGATCAGTTCCTTCATTTGTTCCTCAGTTAATGCATGCTGCTCGAAGTCAAAGCTGAAGGGAGTCATGCACACAGGTTCGTCACTGATGTCGTGCAGTGATGTTAAGTAGGGATGAGCAAGTGCATCCTCAACTATCACAAGAAGTCGACATATTTAGGTAATTGAAAATCAATAGTGAGCCAAAGGAATGAGAAGAAGAGAAATTCACAACATGGAATCACTTTATGGTATTACAAAACTAACAAAATTGGTGTGAATAGTCCAAGCAACTCCATTCAGAAGAATGCTATCAATTGTAAAAAGGTTGAATTCAGAACAGGCATGCAAGAGATGCGGCAAAATCCAGTAAGCAGTAGGGTTTGGGTAATGGATATCTTTGTTTTACATCAATGTATAATGCGAAAACATAAACTGTTAATGTCCAAAATTTACTTAGTTTACCAGATATTGCTTTTTGTTTACTACATATTGTTGCGTCATCCAATTGAATGCCATGAGACTTGTTTCTATTTGAACTGAATAGACTATTCCACAATTTTATTATATTTTGGATTTACAGAAATTCACACTTGTAAAGGTTACAACTGGTAATAATAAACCAAATCTAATTAGAGGGCTAAAGAATCTTATTAACTAAAAAATGTGAACAAAGCAGTAGATAATGCCAATCTTCATGATGGGATTGAATGGACTAGAATTGAATGAAACAGAAAGTGCCTTGTCCCCATAGCAGATAAATGGAAAGGAGTAAAAACATTTTATTTTATTAGGATAGCAAGCCAAAAGGATTATTTCCAAAAAAAAAAGGATAGCGAGCCAAAAGGAGGGAATTGAAAACTACTAAAGTCTAAAAAAAGCAATACTCTTTGAAGATATTTTAACCTCCACTTTCCTTCTATTCATTTTCCCCATATTGGAGTAAAGGGAATAAAGGTGAGATGTTCACTTTAATTCTCTCATTGCTACTAAGAAATTCTCTCCAAAATATACGATTAAATCATTAACCTCCTAAATTTTCCATTCCATCGTTCTCTCTCCACTACCATATGCAAAATAGATTGGCTAGGAAGTGTAAGGATTCCCATTTCATGACTATCAAAGTGCTTGAAAATATGTCTGCATGTCAATCATAATACATGCAAAGGTCAAAGGAAATTAACACAATTCAATTTTAACCTCACCTGTGATCCTCTGCCTGGGATCAAAAGTTAACATCTTTTCAACAAGATCAATAGCGGCAGGGTGCACATTTGGAAACTTTTCGGTGAAGGACTGACGGCGATAAAGAGGAAGTTGCCGAATGTATCTTTTTGCATTTTCATTCAAGAACCCTAACTCTTCCTCCGAAGGGGTGCCGATCAGCTGCAATGTGTTTTTCTTGATTAATTAAGCTGACTAATAGAAATCGCTAAGGTTGTGCACCTATCTTGTTGAAACAAAGATTGACCATTTTCAAAAACTAATTGACAAAATATGAGCTTAATGAATGATTGGAATTTATTCTGGAAAGCTGTTCAGTAGAAAATGGAACATCAACGCCTTGTGATGATGCAACATCAAGCAGCTTGTTGACTGAAACTATCTATTCTCTCAAGATTAGACATACAAGAATGACGTGCGAATAGAAAGATTAAACTGCCAATAAAATTAAACCTGTCAAGGTAGCAATTTAAAGATTTGGAAAAATTACCTCCATAAGCAATCGCAGCTGATGCACATGATCTCTTCCAGGAAATAATGGTTTTCGATCCATCAACTCCATAAAAATACAGCCAACTGACCATACATCAATAGCTGCAGTATAATCTGAAGAATTTAACAACAGCTCTGGTGCACGATACCACCTTGTCACAACATATTCAGTCATAAAATCAGTTTCAGAAGTGACACGAGCCAGTCCAAAATCACATATTTTTAGGTCACAATTGGCGTTCAATAGGAGATTGCTTGGTTTTAAATCCCTGTGCAGAACATTTGCAGAATGTATATACTTCAACCCGCGGAGAATCTGATACAGGAAATACTGCAAAAGAAAATTAAGCAATAATGACTTTGATGTCTACAAAAGACCAGTTTTATTTGGGGAAAAACAGAACCTAATTGGGGACTTAGAAACCAAAAGAAGAAAAAGAAATACAATCACAATGGCCTTCCCATTTTAAGGAACAGAATAAAGCGCTAATGATGTTCTTGATATAACAAGGAAAAAAAAGCAAGTCACTTGCATTATAGCATGGGGATTTTTGCAGTACCTGATGAAGTTGTAAGGTTTAGCTAAAGATAATTTTCAAATGCAAAAGCGATCCAAAAATTGAAAAAGAAAAAAGAGAAAAAAAAGAAGAGAAAAATTTTATGATCCAAATAAACTAATTGACACCAGGCTTGAGCTAGGCTCTACAATACCAGGTTTGCAGTACCGTTTTACAAGAGTGAAGCAGGAGTAATAAGTAGATACATTATGGACTCCAAACAGATAGATACGATTGAGGAAACAAAAACAAGTGCCCTAGTATGAATCATTTAGCCTCAAGATTCATGCGCTTAAAAAGGCTGATATAATGTGGATGAAGAGTTATAACAGTGATAATGACTTAATGAAGACTCCATCCAACAAACTAACTTCAAACTAAACCCCTGGCAGTGCTCTTCTGACAGTGCTTGATTAGAGCGAATTATCTGATGCAGGTCCGTGTCCATCAACTCATAAGCAATATAAACATCATTGAAAGATCCCTCTGAAGGTGGTGGTATTATATCTCTGATTGCACAACCTGCAACAAATGCAAATGATACTTTTAAACCGACCCGCATATTCTGCATCTGTCTTTCATGATGTTTCCTCCTTTTCCCCTCATTTCC